GAACGGGTGACTGCTTTAACTTGCACAATTGTGGCCCTGGATCCTAAAGGGGACACTGAAACAACATAGAATTTTTGCAACTCCAGTTTGCCTCACTTTTCCTTCTGCCCCAGCATGCTGCCTGCTATACCTCAGAACTTCTCTGATGGGTAGAGACCAGAAAAGCAGGCTCCTGAAAAGGCCTTCTAGTGTTGAGGACCTTCCGGGTGACTGCTTTAACTTGCACAATTGTGGCCCTGGATCCTAAAGGGGACACTGAAACAACATAGAATTTTTGCAACTCCAGTTTGCCTCACTTTTCCTTCTGCCCCAGCATGCTGCCTGCTATACCTCAGAACTTCTCTGATGGGTAGAGACCAGAAAAGCAGGCTCCTGAAAAGGCCTTCTAGTGTTGAGGACCTTCCCCAGACAGTGGATTGAGGGGTGATTATAATCTTTTGCATCTGTTAGCAAGATCAGTTCTTAATTTTCCATCACATAGCTGTCACTAGAAGAATATATGTTCACTTGGAGGTGGTGGGTTAATGATTGTTTGGAAACAAGGTTACATCACTGCAATGTGATGAGAAGGCAGCAGGAAAAAAAGATTTTTTAAATAGTTTAATAGCAGGGGTCATATTACTTTTCTACTAAGAGATGCAGTTATGTTTTAATTGGCTAATGTTTACATTGTGGTTTTTCTTAAAAACACATTTTTTCAAGATTCTCTCAATCATCGCTTATCTCACATCCACAAATATCCATGCTTCCTGTGTATAATATGTACATTTGTTCTATTTCAAACATACTCACGCTCAAAGTTTATTTCACATGGGACATCAAGAAAACAGTTCACATTAGTCTGTTTTCCCCCCTCCCCTCAGTTAAGTTTCATTAAAAATAAGTTCATAGTGAGTTCAGCTTTCTAGTCCTATCTTTCAGTGTAAAACTGTTACTGTTATTTATTAGAAAGTTGGTTCTTGGACATTTTTGAGAACTAATACATTTCCTGTAGTTGTAAATCTTTTTCAGTTATTCTGAATATTGGGAAACTGTCTAACATTTCTACGAAAACCTTTGCAAACTTAATGGATCTTTCTCTGACCATACAAATTACAGAGAGCATTAAAATATTTACAAAAATTATTCATTGTGTTTTGATTAGAAATGTACTAATATTGAATAGAAGTAACTATCTATGGCACTGGATATGGATGTTCACGGGAAGTCTGTGCAGGGGCGGGGAGTCTACATTTGTGTGGAATGCCCTTTATTTCAACAGGATCAGGGCCTGAGACCTTCAGTTAATCATATGTGCATACTATTTTAATATGTTTGTACATTTCTAGAATCAAACCTATTAATCAGATTCCATACATTTCAATTAGTATAAAAGGTTCCTGGCCCAGCTTTCTGACAAGGGTAGAAACATACTGCATTGTTTCCTTTTTAAAAAGTTATTTTATTTCTTGTCCTGTACAGTTTTGACGAGAGCACGAATAGTTAGGGCCAGAAATAGCTTGGCATACTATGCAGGTAGTCCCAGTGAAAGTGAACTTATTAAGAAATAAGAAGAGCAAATATGAATGTATTTCAATAATGCACATTTTAAATTGGGATTAAACAAATGCTGAGAATTTTGCACATTACTTTTATGGTGTAATAATGATTTGGCAAAGCCCAAGTTTACAAATTGAAAAAGAATTTCTTCAGCAGTGCAAGTAAGAAATAAGTGGCTGTGAAAACTTAAGCTTGTATGAGACTTTGGGTACGTTTACACAGCAACATTATTTCAGATCAACTAGTATTATTTTAAAATAACTTAGTCCACATCTACACAGCAGGCGATTATTTCAAAATAATGTCTATATACTATCAAGCTGGAGGACTTCTTACTCTGACTCCTTTAACCCTCATTGTATGAGGAATAAGGGGAAGCAGAGGAAGAGTGTTCTATTTCAAAATAAGTGCTGTGTAGACGCGCTCAATTAAGAAATAAGCTATTTCAAAATAAGCTACGCAATTGATGTAGCTCAATTTGCGTAGCTTATTTCGAGTTAAGCCCTGCTGTGTAGATACACCCATTATTAAACTTTATCAATACATTTTCTAGACATTTTTTGATTGTGTTCTTTTTAAATTAATGAATTAAATTATCTGTTCAGACATAATACAATAAACTGTAATAGTTGTTCATAACAGGAAAAAAATAGAGGAGAAAATTCTAGCTGCATGAATACAGCTGCAATATCTAGTTCACTTATTCTAATGAATTGGGTGACTATTTCTAGAATTTAATAAAGATGGTGGTCATTCAAAATTTTTCAGATTTAGAGCTAACCCCTCAATGCATTTCTCACCAAGTAGCTGGGGACATGTAAGGGAAGGAGAGTGGAGAAAGTAGGTGAGAAGAAGCACAGATCTAGGGTGTGTCTACACTGCAGAACTTAACTCAAAATAAGTGACACAAATTAAGCTACGTCAATTGCGTATCTTATTTCAAAATAGCTTATTTTGAAATTGGGAGTGTCTGCACAGCACTCATTTCAAAATAGTGCACTCTTCTTCCGACTTCCCTTATTCTTTGTACAATGAGAATTACAGGAGTCAGAGTAAGAAGTCCTCCAGCTTGACAGTATTTTGACACTATTTCAAAATAACTGCCAGCTATGTAGATGCGGACTAAATTATTTTGGAATTGTGCTAGTTATTTCAAAATAGTGTTGCAGTGTAGATGTACCCCTAGAACTCGCATGCTACAGAGCCTACTTTAGTTCTATAGCAGTTGTATAGGTAATGATTAAAAAATGTGCAGCTTGCTTTTCATTACTCTCTATTATGTGGTCGGAAAACTCATAGAAATATTGATCAGTTGCGAAATATTGTATGGCTTGACTCTCAATCCCTTTCTATTGTAATATTACTGTCTAGTTCTTGATTATTTGTAATAAGAAAATAAAGTCCCTACTCGTTCACCAGAGGAGAAGGGAAAGATATGATAAATCCTACCACAGTCAGATTATTATGCAAAGATATACAAAAGGTCAGTGTCAGGAGTAAGTTCCTTTGCCCTCAGGGGGCCTCAATATGTTTAGGTTAATATTTAGGATTATCAGTAGTATGTAATTGAGCCCTTAGTTAGAATAATTTATATAGACAGAATTTTTTCTCCTAGAGGAGCAAGATCAGTATGTGGTGTAATAAATTTGGCCAAATATCTATGATCAACTATAGAATATAAAATTTTCAAATTGTGAAAAAGATTTTTGATTATTAAAGTGCCCGCTAAATATCATTTTTGCATCTGTTCTTGTTTTATTTACTAACAAATTATTATAAAAATGTTAATTGTAAAACTCGTTTAGGTCTGACAGTTTTTGCCATTTTCATGTCTCTAATAATCAGTTCTGATTACTACAAAGATTCTACTGAGCAGTCTGGCACTAATTGTTAAAAGATGTCTATGTTTAAAAATATTAGATCGATGATTATAGCTGTACTGTTAATTTTGATTATTATTTAGAATAAGTGTGTTTTAGAGGAATCAGTATACTTTTCCCTTTAAAAATAAATTCAGGATTGTAACATTGCTCTAATTTGTAGGATCTATAAAGTCACATCTGATTCTGTCATGAATAAGAAGAGTTAACTGTATGGGGAGCCTCCCTCTATTCAAATGCTACTCATATATAAAATATATGTCATGCTTGAATATATTCTATTGTCAATCCAAATAGAACACAAACTAAAATGAGATAATTGGGAAGGTGCCTATAAAGTCAGTCTGAATATATTATCACAAGTATATGTGAGATAATATTTGTTTTAAAAAGATTCTATGGCACTGTAAACTCAGTCTCATTAGAGACTGCATTTAAAAGGCTTATAAAGTTACTCATTAATGTTATCTTGTTGTATCTCCACAGCTTTTTCATTAAAGAAAATTCAGCAGAAAGCATTTTCTCCTGATAGCAGGAACCAATTTGCAATAAATGTTCTGGAAACCACTAGGGAAGCCATTACTGAGGTCTAATAAAAACAGACAAGCGTAACTTGTTCTATATTTTTGTTTCAATCACATACAGATGAGACCCCGCTCTCCACACCAACCGCAAGAGACAGCCTTGACAAACTTTCTCTAACTGGGCATGGGCAACCACTACCTCCGGGTTTTCCATCTCCTTTTCTATTCCCTGATGGATTGTCTTCCATAGAGACCCTTCTGACTAACATCCAGGTAGGCCTTTCTATAGATCAGCTTACAGGGACAGAGATGAGCCAGTGGTAGATTTGTTTAAATGAATACAGCTGTTTTAGAGTAATCAGTTCATAAGATTATTTGAATCAACTAATTTACCAAAACTTAGTAGCAATTTAGGTTTAAAGAAACCGCAACAGTCAAATGATTTTAGAATCTGATACCATACATAAAAATATAGATTTGTGTGTGTGAAACCACAACAGATATTTAGATGAAAGTGACATTTGTCTTCTAAAAATCATTCATCTTAAATGACAAGGTAATGAGATTTATATTTTTACTGTTTAAGTTCATCTCATTTATTAAACAGAAAAAACCATGCAATAAATAGTTACTTTAAACTGCTGCAGTGTCAAAATAGAAATAACATGTTAAGCTATTTAAAATATGTCTAGTATAAAAGGTATTCACAAGAAGCTTTTTTTTTAAAAAAAAATAAGCTTGTTTCCATTAATGCAGTATGTTCAAATAGACTTCAAAGGGCATTACAAATTTTTCTGCAGATTTCCTAAGCAATAGTGAGGATATTTATTATGTGTACAGCATAGTCCGATTTACACATTATTCATGATTTACAGTAGAATATTGCATGGAGCCAATGTAGGAGTGTTTGACATGAGAGTGAAGATATATATGTATTTTTTTACCCACACATGCAGTGATCACATGGTCAACAGATTGTAAGTTTTGTAGCCATATGGCTATGCATCATGTGCAGCAGCAAAATGGCAGTGTAGGAAAAGTACTGCCTTCTCATGCTCATTCCCATTGTGCTTTGTATACTTAGCTAATATATAATCTTCCATCACATTTCTTTTACTAAAACACCATTCGCAAACACAGAGGAAATTAATTGCATTTTATTCATCAACATTTATAGCAATGCTACTTCTTTAACTAGTCTCACAGAAGTTAATGGAACTGCAGGCTTTGGCTTGCCTTTTTAAAATGTGGGAAATATATTCATCTTAGTAGTAAGGATTCTCTTCGTTTATACTATACTAATAAACACCTCGGGGAATGGCAGGTGGTCATACTAAAACTCCATATCTGAACAACCCAAAGGAATTGAGATCTGTGGTTAAACATGCAGACATGGCTAGACATGAGAAAGTAGAAGCAGAGGTCTTTGACAAAAAGGGGCAAACCCTTCCCACATTAATGAAAACAAAGAATCAAGAAACCAGTGTGCTTCCACTGCACAATAGCCTACGTTTTGGACAGTCCCTTCACTGTGCATCTACACACAGCTAGTCAATGGAAATACAATGGGGCAAAAGCCAGGCAGGATTTCTGTTATCGTATACAACACTATATGAAAACTCCAGTCCTTTTCGCTGCATATGTGTAGGAGAAGGTACTTGTGTCCTTACTCTGAAATAGTAGATATGGAACAAATCCATTGTCAGGCCACTGTGTGCCGGGGAAGGAGAGGATAACTTCTACAGCCTAGCTGATGTTGTCCTAGGAAAAACATGTTATTTAAAATTTATTTAAGAATCAACATAGTTCAGGAAATTGGGTCTAGTTATAGAAGTCAGGAAATCTGGATTCCACTTCTGGGATTACCACTGATGTGGGCAATTTATTCTACTATTGTGCCTTTGTTTCCCAATCCATGATATGGATGAGAAGTGCTTTGAGATCTACAGATGGAAAGTGTTATTATATAAGAGCTAAGAATTATTACTTGCACATTATTCATCTGAGTGAAACATAGTATTTTTGAGTTTCGAGACTCCTACACTTTATAAACAAAAAAGAGGTTATTTCTATAACACAAGGTAAATATCTCTAACACGATTGCAAAATTGAAAAAATAAACTGATTTTGTTTCACTCTGAGATACCCAGTAAATAAACCTAGGTGACAAATGAATATAGAGAATAAATATTTGAGTTGAGCACTGATGTATAAGTAAAGTTCTTAGTAACTTTTTTTTTGATCAATGCGTGTACTTGATGTCTTTAGACAACAAACAATGGGTAAAAGATTAAATATCAACAGGTGAGCTAATATTGTGATTAAATTGGAGAGAGTTATATTATAAGCCCTGTTCTACACTAGGGCTCTGTTTTGAAATAAACCCTCCAGGTCAAATTTAATGGGCTTTGTTGGGTGGATGTTCTGCTTTTATTTCAAAATAAGGGACTGCTTACTTTGAAATATGTACTTCTGCTTCTCTTTGGGAATAACACTAATTTCAGAATAGTTATTTTGAAATAGTGGAAGTGTGGACACTCTCGTGCAGCTATTTTGAAATAACTAGCCCCCATAGTAATTCAAATTAATTACTCCCCAGTGCTTTTTGGGGCTCTAAGTTGAGGTAGCATATTCACATTAATGCAGTTTGCCTCAGACTAATTTGAGGCTTCCCCGTAGTGGTGGACACTCTATTTTGATTTTGTAAAATCAGGAGTTAAGTCGAATTTAGTTATTTCAAAATAGTTTCTTACTCCTAGTATAGATGTGCCCTAAAATGGAAGGCCAAGAATTCGTTTTCTGAGAATACGTTCAAATTTGTATTTCAGAAGATACAGAATTCAGATGATTTCACTTGTTACCTGTGGAAGACTGATGTAAGGAATCCATACTTCTGTTCATATCATTTCCAGTTGTGGGATGCTACTTAGTACCTTCAAAAAGGTGGCATATGTGTGCATTCGGTGCAAGGAGCTCCTGGCCCTCAGAGACCGAGTACGGGCTTTGGAGGCCAGGGTGGCTGAACTGGAGGAGCTGAGGGAGGCAGAGGTACATAGATGAGGCTTTCCGGGATACTACAGAATTGTCCCACCTTCAGTCAGATAGCCTCTGCGCTGTTAAGGACGGAGAAAGGCTCAGAGAAGGAAAGCAGTCAATGGGAGCAGAGGGAAACCTTCCCATAGTTGGGACCCTCCTTCCAGATGTTGGGGTATCCTCTCACACAGAGGTTTACTCTCTGGGGGAGGGAACCCCAGTCAGTAGGAAAAGGCAAGTGTTAGTAATGGGAGATTCGATCATTAGAAATGTAGATAGCTGGGTTTGCGATGACCGGGACAACCATATGGTGACTTGCCTGTCTGGTGCGAAGGTTGCGGACCTCTCGAGGCATCTAGATAGACTTATGTGTAGTGCTGGGGAGGAGCTAGTGGTCGTGGTACATGTAGGTACCAATGACATAGGGAAGGGTAGCAGAGACATCTTGGAGGCCAAATCTACGCTGCTAGGAAAGAGACTGAAATCCAGGACCTCTATGGTGTCATTCTCAGAAATGTTTCCAGTTCCACCCGCAGGGCTAGGTAGGCAGGCAGAGCGTTAGAGTCTCAATGCATGGATGAGACGATGGTGTAAGGAGGAGGGGTTTAGTTTTATAAGGAACTGGGGAAACTTTTGGGATAGGGGGAGCCTATGCAGGAAGGATGGGATCTACCTAAACCAAAGTGGATCCAGACTGCTGGCACTTAACATTAAAAAGTTGCAGAGCAGTTTTTAAACTAAGAGATGGGGGAAAGCTGATTGGTGCAGAGGAGCACGTGGATTGGACATCTCTTAGAGGAGAGTCTATTGATAGAGATTATCTAGGTTTTAGTCAGGAGGAGAGGATGGAAGAGGATAAAGTATGGACCAGATCAGATGAAAAACATTCACATAAAAAAGAATCTGGCACATGAGAAAAGGGAAGACAAATAAACAGTGACAAGTTTTTAAAGTGCTTGTACACAAATGCTAGAAGTCTAAAAAATGAGATGGGTGAACTAGAGTGCCTCGTGTTAAAGAGGATACTGATATAAAAGGTATCACAGAAACCTAGTAGAGTGAGGACAATCAATGGGACACAATCATTCCGGGGTACAAAATATATCGGAAGGACCAAACAGGTTGTGTGGGTGGGGGTGTGACACTATATGTAAAAGAAAATTTAGAATCAAATGAAGTAAAAATCTAAAATGAATCAACATGTTCCATAGAATTGCTATGGATAGTAATTCCCCGAAGAACACCTCAGCAGCCCAACACTGTGGCATTTAATTTCAAAAAGGGAAACTATGCAAAAAAGAGGAGATTAGATAAACAGAAATTAAAAGGTACAGTGACTAAAGTAAAATCCCTTCATGCTGCATGGACACTTTTCAAAGACACCATAATAGAGGCCAAACTTAAATGTTTACCTCAAATTAAAAAAACATAGTAGAAGAACTAAAAAAGGGCCACCGTGGCTTAACAACCATGTAAAAGAAGCAGTGAGAGATAAAAAGACATCTTTTAAAAAGTAGAAGTCAAATCTTAGTGAGGTAAATAGAAAGGAGCATAAACACTGCCAAATTAAGTGTAAAAATGTAATAAGAAAACCCAAAAAGGAGTTTGAAGAACAGCTAGCCAAAAACTCAAAAGGAAATAACAAAATGTTTTTTAAGAAGTTTTTCAACATAGGAAGCAGGAAGCTGGCTACACAACTAGTGGGGCCTCTGGACGATTGAGATACAAAAGGAGCACTCAAAGATGATAAAGTCATTGCGGAGAAACTAAATGAATTCTTTGCTTCAGTCTTCATGGCTGAGGATGTTAGGGAGATTCCCAAACTTGACCCGTCCTTTGTAGGTGACAAATCTGAGGATTTGCCACAGATTGAAGTGTCATTAGAGGAGATTTTGGAATTAATTGATAAACTTAACAGTAACAAGTCACCGGGACCAGATGGCATTCACCCAAGCGTTCTGAAAGAACTCAAATGTGAAATTGCGTAACTATTAACTCTGGTTTGTAACCTATCCTTTAAATCAGCTTCTGTACCCAATGACTGGAAGATAGCCAATGTAACGCCAATATTTAAAAAGGGCTCTAGAGGCGATCCCATCCATTATAGACCAGTAAGTCAGTACTGGTCAAATTAGTTGAAACAATAATAAAGAATAAAATTATCAGACACATAAAAGATCAAAATTTGTTGGGCAAAAGTCAACATGGTTTCTGGAAAGGGAAATTATGTCTTACTAATC